GAGAAGTGAAAGACACTCTCCAGAAAGTGCGCATATCCTGGTCAAAGTCTACAATCAAGAGAAGAACGCACGAGAGCAAATACAGAAGGTTCACCACAAGGTGCAAACCATTGATAAGCCTGAAGAATAGAAAAGCCAGATTAGAGTTTGCCAAAAAACATCTTAAAAAGCCAGACCAGTTCTGGAAAAGCATTCTTTGGATGGATGAAGCTAAGATTAATCTGTACCAGAATGATGGGAAGAAAAAAAAAAAAGTGTGGAAAACGCTTGGGACAGCTCATGATCCAAAGCACACAACGTCATCTGTGAAACATGGTGGAGGCAGTGTGATAGCCGCATGCATGGCTTCCAGTGGCACTGGGTCATTGGGGTTTATTGATGTGACAGAAGCAGCTGGATGAATTCTGCAGTGTTTAGAGATATATTGTCAGCCCAGATTCAGCCAAATGCAGCAAAGTTGATTGCATGGTGCTTCACAGTACAGATGGACAATGATCCAAAACACACTGCAAAAGCAACCCAGGAGCTTTTGAAGGAAAAGAAGTGGAATATTCTGCAATGGCTGAGTCAATCACCTGAGCTCAACTCAATGTAACATGTATTTCACTTGCTAAAGGCAAAACGAAAGGCAGAAAGACCCCCCAAAGAACAACTGAAGACAGGTGCAGTTAGAGCCTGGCAAAGCATCAGAAAGGAGGAAACCCAGTATTTGATAATGCCCATGGGTTCCAGACTTCAGGCAGTCATTGCCAGTAAAAGGATTCTCAACAAAATATTAAAAATGAACATTTTATTTATGATTATATTCATTTATCCAATTACATTTGAGCCCCTGAAAATGGAGGGACTGTGTATAAAAATGGTTGTACTTGATATTTATGTTCAACAAGTTGAATTAAAGCTGAAAGTCTGCACTTCAAATTCATAAAAATAAAAACCCAGCGGTGATTAAATAACAAAAGAAAGTTCTATTTGTGTGAAAAAAATGATACAAATTTAATTTGTGTACAGTATTGCATGACCACGTAATTGCCAGTTGAAGTAGCACAGTGCTGAATAGTAACAAAAAGGGCTGGTCATGAAGGGGTAAAATCTTCTGGAGCTCAAGTGTTTAAGAACGTCTGTCTTCTGAGTCATTTCTGTGCACTAGTACAATATTGGACACAAAAAAAAAAAAAAGATCCAAATTGTCCTACTCCATTGTGCCTTGTCTGTAGCAAAAAAACTTATAAATACAACAATGGCTCCAACAAAATTTAAGACACTTTATTAGAAATCACAGATATTTAGCATCCAAAGCTGCTGTTTTAAATGACTACTGGAATCTCAAAACAAGTACAGCTTTTGCTACAAAAAAATATCAGTAAATAATGAACAGTAGGCAAGTTATCTGGGGACAGAATTTATAGCCCAGAAAATTAAAATTCACAGAGTTGGTGGTGAGACTAATAATGCCAGCATGTAAAATGCAAGGACCAAAAGTAGTATAAGAGATTGAAAAGGTTCCTTTTGTGAACGGACACACGGAGCAACGGGTGCCCCCATAGCAAGCTGCTTACTGTGGGGGCACCCGACAAAGGAGGAGCAAGGAGAGCCTGCAGGGGACCCAAGAAGAGGAGGATCCAGGCTGCTCTGTGCAAGACCACTGCAAACAGCAGGTAAGTATAGACTTTTTTGGTAAAATAAACAATAGAGCCTTTAGAACAGTACAATAAGTCAACATATTTGTGACACGTCATATGATGCTGAAGAGGTTTTGTGTGATTAACTGAAAAACAGCAAATTCTTTATCCAAGTTGTTGGGTCAACAGACATTACTAGTGCTTGCCTTGTAGCATTTGTAAATTTTAAGTAGTGATAATTAAGAAAACCTTGTCTACTATAAGGAGCTGCCTGAAACTACCAAAGTTCAAGATAATATTTAAGTCTGCATATAAGGAAACAAAGTGCTGGTCTTGGAATGGATGTGTTGGCATCTGCACTTGATGTTGCCTTATCAAGGGCTGGCTCCATGAGATGCTTTTCTTCTCTTGTAAAAAAAGAGGAAAACCCTAACGCACCATTCACACTAGGGCATTAATTTCAATAGCACCTGAAAACGCAGGGCGTTTTTGCCTCGATTGCAACGCATTTTTCCACATGGCAAACACACAAACAAAATCGCAGGATGTGTAACACCCAATGTGACGCACGCAGCGTCAGACCCCAGCCCTTCTCACCAAACTCGTGACCGAAGGACTAGCCAATCTAAAACCACGATGTCACGTGCGTAACAATGCCACACCCAGCTGCACCCTGCACACCAATTTTCCAGCTAATTGGACCACAGTTGATGTACCGGCAGCCTGAATGCGATTGTTACTGGGTCAGGTTAATTACGCAATTAACCCTTCACACTGCCACCACCTCCTTTTTATACAGAGAAAGAGGAAACTCAGCAATACACTAGGATGATTGGTTAACCGTCAGTATCCCGCTATCTCTACAGACCGGTTATACAGAGGGTTAAATACTCATAGTAGCGCTCTCCAGCGGCAGGGATTCATAGGTTACATTCAAGAGCTATAGAAACAGTTCAACACTTTCAGAAAGTAGGATTTATTACCAAAAGGTTAAAAGGGTGCAGTAAAAATATTTACAGAAAGAAGATGTAACATATATATATACACACACACACACACACACACACACACACACACACACACACACACACACAGAGCACAACAGCACAGCAAACAGATAACAGAAAGAAGTTTAGGTAAATAAGGACTTGCCAATAAGTTAAGCAAGTTAAGCACTGGGGTTAAGCAGTTTCAAGTCTGATGAGCTAAAAAGGGATTTCTGGTCTCGCACTCAGTTTCGTTGGTACAGCGCGATTCTCCTTTGCTCTTGGTTTGCTAGATGGTAAAACACTGAACGTCCTCACTTCTCTGACTACACACAAAACATAACAGCTTCTTTTCTCTACTCAAAATCAACTGGGTGTCTCTTCCCACAACGGACAAGCCAAGCCTTATTTGGCAAAGAATTGTTAGGCAAGGGCTCAGCATCATACGCTGATTGAATTCCTGAGGGAGGGGGAATGAGGGGATACATGAAGACTTCTTAATACAGGGAGAGCCGTGCCTGACTCTTGTATGCACGACTGACACCCAAGATATGGTTTTGGAACCTTTTTTGGGTGTTGCACATCCTGCGATTGTTTGCACGATTGCCGCACAGAAAAAACGCACCGCAATTGCAGCAAAAATGCCCTGCATTTTCATGTGCCAATGGAAAGAAATGAATGGCACCTGAACACAGAATCGTAAGTTTTTACACTTTCACAATGCGTTTCTAAATCGCGGGCAGAATTCCGCCCACGATTTGGAACGTCCTAGTGTGAATAGAGTCTTATAAGACCACAACACACTGCTTTCTTTATAAAGAAGTGCTCATGTCAAAACCTCTTGGGAGCAAAAAATTATCAACGTTCTGGATGATGCTACAAAATAGTTAATGTGGTTTTAAACCCAAAACCAAAAATGTAATAGATTGCAGCTTAACAAATCAGATGTGGTGGCTGCATTAGTTTTCTTTTTTAGGGCTGGTTCAAACCAAGCCCGCGCATGAATCGCACACTGTGCATGCACTACTTTTGAAGCAGTGTAATTTTAGTCCATTCAAAAACAGTAGACTGAAATCGCACCACGCAGAATCACATGTGAATTGCATAGGAATGCACAGTGCGGTCCTGTGCAATTCATGTGCAGGCATGATGTGAACTGGCCCTTAAGCTTTTTTTACCCTCAGTTTTCAGCTGGTGATCTGGCAAGTAACACATGTCCTGTATTAGAGTGCTCCCACTCTGAATGAAGATGCAGAGGGACACCTTTAGACAGCAATATCATCTGTCCTGGAGGGGGGGGGGGGTAGAGTCAGATGTACTGGCAGGTTTAGAACACACTGAAGCCAGCTCACAGCACTGTTACAGCAACAATGTTTTTTCCTTTTGGGATAAAAGGCTTTACATGAATAAATATAAAAATTGACCACTGTAAGCATCCCTGTCAGTGTTACATGGTTTGTCTCAACCCCTGTAAATTGTTACATTCCCAGGAGAGCTAGTTCTATTGAAAAACAGAATTACTGTCTGAATCAGAAGGTGAAAATAAAAAAAAAGCTAAAAAAAAAAAAAAAACTAATGCAGCCATTACATTAAAGAATTGGTAAGCTGCAATATAATAAAATGTTTGCTTTTTGGTTTAACCACCTCCCGTCCGGCCGTTGTATATAAACGGCCGGACAGTGGCACTGCAGGGTCGGGTGGCCGTTTATAAATGGCCTCCCCGCCCCCTGCTTGTGCATGCTCCCTGGGAGCGTGCAGCACTGCGATCCGGTGCCCGCTGTGCTGTACGAGGTCCCGATCATGTGATCACTGATTGGCCAATCACATGCAAAGTAGTAAGCAAGATGTCATTTGTGACATCATTGCTTACTATGTGTGAAATCTGAATGATCACAGAGGTCACATGGTACAAGGCTATTCACAACAGCCTTGTACCATGTGACAAGCTGTGACCAATCACAGCTCACTCAGTAGTTCTCAATGGCTGCAAGAATGCAGACAGAGAGAAAGAGAAAATGATTGCTTTTACATCCTATATGGGTGTAAAAGCAATCAGTGTAAAAAAAAAAAAAAACCAAATAAAAAAAAAAGTAAAAAAAAGGTTTAAAAATTTTAATTTTTGCTTATAAACTAATTTGGCTTTTTTTTTTTTTTACTAAAAAGATAACGGAATAAATTTTGGCCAAGATTTATGATGAAATAATATTTACCGTATTTTCCGGCGTATAAGACGACTAGGCGTATAAGACGACCCCCTACTTTTCCTGTTAAAATATAGGGTTTGAGCTATACTCGCCGTATAAGACGACCCCTCTTCCAACACACACCAAATAAAAATGAAAAAACATCAGATTTGATTTCAATATGGTATGCTATTTCAGTATGGTATTCAATGATGGGGTGCTATTCCTCCCACTGACACCAATGATGAGGCACTACTCCTCCCCTAACACAATGATGAACTACTCCTCCCACAATGATGGGGCACTATTTCATCCACTGACACCCACTATTCCTCCCACTGACACTAATGGGGAAACTATTCCTCCCACTCCAATGATGGGGCACGATTCTTCCCACTGACACCAATGATGGGAAACTATTCCTCCCACTGACACCAATGATGGGGCACTATTCCTCCCACTGATACCAATGATGGGACACTATTCCTCCCACTGACACCAATGATGGTGCCCCATCATTAGTGTCAGTGTGTGAGGAATAGTGCCCCATCATTAGTGTCAGTGTGTGAGGAATAGTGCCCCATCATTAGTGTCAGTGTGTGTGGGAAGGAAGTGCCCCATCATTAGTGTCAGTGGGAGGTAGTGCCCAATCATTAGTCAGTGGGAGGAATAGTGCCCCATCATTAGTCAGTGGGAGGAATAGTGCCCCATCATTAGTCAGTGGGAGGAATAGTGCCCCATCATTGGTATCAGTGGGAGGAATAGTGCCCATCATTGGTATCAGTGGGAGGAATAGTGCCCCATCATTAGGGTCAGTGGGAGGAATAGTGCCCCATCATTGGTGTCAGTGGGGAGGAGGAATAGTGCCCCATCATTGGTGTCAGTGGGAGGAATAGTGCCCCATCATTGGTATCAGTGGGAGGAATAGTGCCCCATCATTGGTATCAGTGGGAGAATAGTGTCCCATCATTGGTTTCAGTGGGAGGAATAGTGTCCCATCATTGGTTGTCAGTGGGGAGGAATAGTGCCCCATCATTGGTGTCAGTGGGGAGGAGAATTGCGCCCCATCATTGGTGTCAGTGGGAGCAGAAGTAGTGCCCCATCGTTGGTATCAGTGGGAGGAATAGTGCCCCATCATTGGTGTCAGTGGGGGAGGAATAGTGCCCCATCATTGGTGTCAGTGGGGGAGGAATAGTGCCCCATCATTGGTATCAGTGGGGGAGAACAGTGCCTCATCGTTGGTGTCAGTGGGGGAGGAACAGTGCCTCATCGTTGGTGTCAGTGTGGAGGAGGAATAGTGCCCCATCGTTAGTGTCAGTGGGGGAGAGGAGCGGTTGCTCCTTCAAGTTCGGCCGCTCGATTTTCGCGGGGCCGCTTGGCTCCGCCTCCTCGCCAGTGATTGGTCGCCTGTGTGCCTTTCCAGTGATGGCGCCCAATCACCGGTGAGAAGGCGGAGCCGAGCGGCCGCGTGACCATCGAGCGGCCGAACTGAAAGAGGGAGCAGCCGCGCTTCCTGGACCGGATCGTCGTAGGACCGGAGCCAGGTAAGGTACAGCAGCCCCTCTGCCCACCCCTGTACTTAGTGTCCGTTGGAGGAGGAGGAGGGGGGGGGCGGCGCTGCGCCGCCCCTCGAAAAAGTGCAGCTCTGACCCGGCTCGCACCGGCGTATAAGACGACCCCCGACTTTTCAGAAGATTTTCAGGGGTTGAAAAGTCGTCTTATACGCCGGAAAATACAGTATTTGCAAAATTTTATAAAACACTTTCAAAATTTTTGGACATTTTCATTTAAATAGCAAAAAAAATAAAAATCCCAGCGGTGAATAAATACCACCAAAATAAAGCTTTATCTGTCTCAAAAAAATGGTAAAAAACTCATATAGGTACAGTGTTGCATGACCGCACAATTGTCATTCAAAGTGTGATAGCACTGAAAGCTGAAAATTGCCCTGGACAGGAAGGGTGTAAAAGTGTCCGGACAGGAAGTGGTTAATACCACTTTAACTTTATTAAAAACTAGTTCACCGAGGAATGTTCTAAAAAAGGAGTGTGGTGGGAGAGATGTAGAGAGTTGGAGGAAGATGTGAGGCTGAGGAAGGAGGCTGCCAGGAGGCCTAGTGGGATGCCTGCAGGTCAGGAGCTAGAAAGGAGGAAAGCTTGAAGCTCACTGATCCCTTGAGCGAGGACCACCTATATGATAGGGAAGAAGCAGCCCAGCTGATAGCCCTGGTAGCAGCAGCCAACCCACAAGCAGTACAGGAGAGGATCTAAGTGAGTACTCATGCACCTCCTGGGAGGATAGCGGAAGGAGCACTCTGGTGGGAAACCAGATTAGCCCCCTACTAGTGACTGCTCACTTATTTGAAAGGGACTGGAGCCAGATCCCCTGCCCAGGAAGAAACCACCAGATTGCTAGGGTCTGGGGGGGTACATCAAGGAGACACTGGCTAGCTCTCCAACAGAGACTATGTTGCAGCAGAGAAGCTTGTCAATAGATCCAGGGAGTTTGTCCTCAGTTGTCGGATCCCTTGGGCATCCTTTATCCCCTTACCCTATCCCAGTTCTAAATCCCTTCAATAAACAAAACAAAAGCTCAAGGACTGAATTCTGACTCTGAACACAAGCTTGTGTGGAGAATGCAGTTTGCCTGGCTGTGCAGGACTATAGGGCACTATAGTGCCATACATATTTCAATGCATGAGCCAGCAGAATAAATCTCTGCAATGACCTAGAGACAATATTCTGACTTTATCTGGCGAGATACTTGGATTTTAAAGTAAATTGTATATTTGGAAACGCCAAAATAGAAACCTTACCTCTGCTGCTTGAGCTTGGAAGTAACAATACTCAAGTTTCAAGTTAAATTCTAGATTTCTCTGACTGAAGAGTATGTTTTGCGCAGAAAAGCAGTGAACATTTTCCTGCAGTTTTCTACTTTTTACTTGTGTGAGCAAGCCTTTATGTTTAAACAAGCACCATGAACAGGGACAGAAATCAGCTAATTTTAGCTGAAGACATAATTCATGTGTTCTTTTCTCAAGTTCAACACAGAATTAAGCATCTGCGCAAAAACAAACAACCTAACAAAGTTTCACTTTAAAACCCCAAAACAAAAATGCAGTATATTGCAGCTTACGTAAGCTTAAATATGGTGGCTGCATTCGTTTTTTTTTTTCTCCAGCTTTCACCTGGTGATCCGGCCAGTAAGTCTGCTTTTTTTAAACTTACTGTAACAGACTAAGCCGTCTAGTAAAAGTGGCAGTTAGAGGGTTGAGGCAAACCATTTAATGCCGACAGGAGAACCGATATTGGTCAGCTTTTATTAATTTGTGTAAAACCTTTATCCCAAAAAGGAAAAAAAAAAAAAACTTTTTCCATTTAAAAAAAGTGTTAACTGGAATTTGGCTTTAGCTTGTTAATCAAGTCCATTTTAATCTGTAGGTGCATCCAACACTATACTCTCACCTCACTGACAATGGTGCTATCCAAAAGGTGTGTCTTTTGCTCTCTCCATTGAAGTGGAGGCACAATAAGTACTTATTTACACTGGAGATTGGGGTAGGTAAAATGTGTTTACCGCCCCTCAACGACTCCCCCTTTTGCTGCAAGGGCAGTGGCTGGGGTTGTACACATGAGACAGTAGGATCTATAACCCCTGTCAGACTCATGCTCATGTGAATGGGGCCCTGCTGCAGCCATCCTGCAAACGAGCACAAGGTGACATGGTTGTCTGGTACCTAGGGCGTTAAAATAGGCAGTAAGAAGGCGATGCCAAGCCTGATGTGAAAAGGTTGTCAGAAAAAAAAAAAAAAAAAGCTAAAAGTGGAGATGTACTGTACATCTACTAATATATGGAAAAAAGATGGGGAAAAGACATTTTTATGTAAAAGGTTACTTTCTACATCTAGAATTAAATGCTACAAGAATAGTAGAAATATTTTAAATAGTTGAAGTGGAGAAGAGCAGAGAAGAGAAAAGAAGAGAAAAGAGAAGGAGAGAAAAAAAAAAAAAAAAAAAAAAAAGAGAAGAGAAGTCCAAATCAACTCAATATTTGGTATGATTACCGTTTGCCTTCAACACAGCATCAATCCTTCTATGTACACTTGCACACCGTTTTTGAAGAAACCTGGCAGGTAGGTTGTTCCAAAAATCTTGGAAAACCAACCACAGATCTTCTGTCTCTTCATGTAATCCCATAGAGAGACTCGATGTTGACATCAGGGCCCTGTGGTGGCCAAACCATCACTTCCAGGACTCCTTGCACTTTGTGCTGAAGATGATTCTTAATGACATTGGCTTTATGTTTGGGGTCATTGTCCTGCTGCAGAATAAATTTGGGACCAATCACAAGCCTCCCTAACGGTATGGTGTGATGGATTAGTATCTGCCTGTATTTCTCAGCATTGAGGACACCATTGATCAGGAAACGTTGTGGAGCAGAGATGCAATAGTTGGTCTAATAAGCTTGATGCAGCAGAAGACAGGCACATCATGTTTACTTCCTTTTGACATCAGAAAATGTTCAGCATTTCAATCAGCACAGAACTGGGGGAAACCAGTGGGACCCAGGTTCACCTATCTACTGTATGGAGAGGTCTGGCCAGAAGTGGTCTGCATGAAATTGCGGCCAAATATCTATACCTCAAACGTGGAAACAAGGCTAAGCCACTCATCTATGCACAAAAACATAGCAACTGGGGTGCAGAAAAATGGAAGCAGGTGCCTTGGACTAACGAGTCAAAATCTGAAATATTTGGCTGTAGCAGGAGAGCAGTACAATAAGAAGTATCTGCAGACAACAGTGAAACATAGTAGGGGATCCTTGCAAGCCTGGGGCCTTCTCGTCCGACATCAGTGCCTGACCTCACAAATGCGCTTCTGGAAGAATGGTCAAACATTCCCATAGACACACTCCTAAACCGTGTGGACAGCCTTCCCAGAAGAGTTGAAGCTGTTATAGCTGCTAAGGGTGGGCCAACTCAATATTGAATGACTGTGATGCCATTAAAGTTCATGTGCGTGTAAAGGCAGGCATCCCAATACTTTAGGCAATATAGGGTGTATATATACACACACACACACACACACACACACACACACACACACACATACTGTACATGAACAATGTGTAGACAGCAACGCTATCATTTTCAGGGTCAGCAGGTGACACCGGTATCTATGGGTAAAGAAAAACTATTACTTGTAAAGGAAAACTATAGTCTCTTGCATACATACATGTAAAAATGATAAACATGAAAATGAAATGTTTGAAGCCATAAATGCTTAAACCATGTGCAGACTGTGCACCCTGCCTATTACGATTGCACAACGAATTCAATATTTCTCCCGCTCATTGTATAATTACAGAACGGGTCTGCATCTTATAAGGCTATGTGAGCTTTATTCAAATGTCATTAAGGGCCATTCACACAATCAGAAACATATGCTTTACACCGCAATTCACTTTGAATGGCACTCCAATGCACATTAACACAACATACCTGTGTTTTAGCGCACCACAGTGCACTTCAATGCATGCGGTCGCTTAAAAGAAAAGTTTGAGCGGAAGTAATTTCTCGTGCGTTGTCGCCTATTTAAAAATCAATGGTTATGCTAATATAACATCCCAAAATGCACGATACAGACAGGGGCGGACTGACCATTTGGAAACTCTGGCACTGCCCGAGGGCCCGGGGTCAGTAGGGGGCCCCATGAGATGCCCATGGTACCTTTTTCATAGGCTTTTTTGAGTTTGGGCAAGGACACAGGGGCCCCATGATCCCCTATTGCCCGGGGGCCCCATGAGTTGTCAGTCCGCCCGTGGATACAGATATGTTGCAGCACATCTGCTGGTGCAGCACAATACAGCAGCGCAAACTGATTCTAAGCAGCTAATCACACTGCCATATATATATTTTTATCGTGTGTGTGTGTGTGTGTGTGTGTGTGTATGTGTATGACTGCATTTACAAATCTGTTTATGAAACACAAAAATCAAAATATATGTGATAGTAAACAGGTGATAACAACCCAAGTATGTACTTACTAAAAGTACACTATATTGCCAAAAGTACAGTATATTGTCTGCCTTTACAAGCACATGAACTTTAATGGCATCCCAGTCTTAGTCCATAGGGTTCAATATTGAGTTGGCCCACCCTTTGCAGCTACAACAGCTTCAACTCTTCTGGGAAGG